AGATAACTGAGTGGCTGCCACACGACAAAGGTGCCAGTACTCATCGTGGCTTTGGAAGCAGACTGGAAAAGGTCAAGAAGCGGAGCACGCGCACCCAGGCCCGCTCTGAGAAACCCGCGCTGACGCCCCGCACTGAGATTAGCATGCTTTAAAGGACCCATCATAAATGCTTAATAATAAACTCACTGCTGTAGAGGTGGCTTAGGTTCGGCAAGCTTCTGTTGGGTTTCTGAAGCTGGACATCATTATGGAAAGAGACTGTTCACCTTTCTCCTGACGATGGACTGCAGCCCACCACCTTATGCACTGCACCACCAGGGCTCCTTAAATGCTTCTTGTTGTGTGGCATTAAACTCCCAGTGACCCTAAGCCCAGATCAAAACTTCACCCTATCCTGTGCCATCCTTACAGTCTGACATGCTCAAGCCCACAGCTGACAAGCACCATGTCAACCCATCTTAAGCTTGCTGCTGTGGTGCGCTGCTGAGTCCATACCTCCTCACAGCTGACCCTCCAGGAGGTTTTCAGAGGCAGTAAATCACGTGGAAGGAGACTGCCCATCCTTCTTCCACAGAGCACCTGGTGGATTCAAACCACATGCCTCTGGGATTGCAGTGCAGCTTCATTACCACTAGGTCACCACTGCTCTAACCTGTGTTCAATAAATACTAAATTATTTTTTATAATTATGGTCTAGAGAAGAAAGGGTAATACTTTGACCCTTATTTTCTCATACTGTCACTAGATCGTGTTAAGATGCTTTTTTTTGGGGGGGGGGGAGATGTTGTTTACCATCGAATCGGATCAGACTGGCACAGGAGACTGTCCCTTCTCAGGCGGAGCATCTGGTGGATTCGAACCATTAAGATGTTTTTTAAGAAAGCTGTGTACCAACGATTCTTCCATTGGTGACCTGAGTCTCACGTGAACCCATCTGGCTGCTAAATGCTCCTATTAACTGCCAGTTCACCCTCTCGGGACTGGTGAAATGCACTGGGCAGCCAAGGTCGACTGACTTAATAAAAAGTACATAAACACCATGTGTCAAGGACTGAACTGTGTCCCCTCAAAATGTGTGTATGCAATGATGTAAGGTGCAAGTTTTTTTAATTCCTCAAGATTTGATAAATCAAGCAGCTGTAAGAAGATTAAGGGTGGGATGTCGTTAGGTGCCTTTAGAGTCCAACAGTCACAGATCTGAACACTCACACTGACCTCTGAACAATAAACAGATCTGTACCCCGCCCTATCCTGCCAATAACATCTCCAGCATGCTCACGCCCACTGGACACTCTGTCAATCCATACTGTCGGAGGTCTTCTTCCTGACCCTCGACCTCTCCCAGTACAATGTCTTTTTCCAGTATCAGGAGGCCCCTCGGACAACATGTGCAGCATGTGTGATGAAGTGTCACCATCCTTGCCTCTAAGAGCACCTTAGATGCACTTTGTTCTTTTCATGGGATATTCAGTACTCTTCTCCAACACCACAACCTGAAGGCATCAATTCTTCTTCTGTCTTTCTTATTCATTGCTCAACTTTCAGGTGCATGCAAGTGAGATATAAAACTCTTTCATTCTTTGATAGCCTTGATCATTTTAAGGGGCATTTCCCTGGGGCAAAGCCTTCATCATCTTTTATCTTACAAGCCAAAAGGATAGGAAATGTGGAGGTAGGCCCTCAGTACCACCTAGATCATCAGGATTGGAGCGTGTCCACAGGACTCAAGTCTGTGTGCTGGGAGGCACAGAGGGATGGTTACATTAAGTCATGCACTGCCCACAGAAGCTCTGGAGGACTGGTGGTCAGGAGTTGCACTGCCAATCCAAAGGCACGTGATTCAAATCCACCAGCTACTCCAGAGGACAGGCAGTCTCCTCTGAAAATCCACCAGAAGGTCAACGATGAGCAGGTTCTGACTTGACGGCAAATATCCTTCAGACAATAAATCTGCTGATTCATTCACTTGCGTATCCACGTATCTCAGACACCATCCAAATGGGAGTTTTCTGGCACTGTTTTCCATTATTGTTGCTTGATGTACTCATGCTTTTTTTGGTTAAGTTTTTTCTTGAAGAAAGGAGTATCCATATGTCTAGTATTTCTCTCATGCTTCATGATATACTGTGCTTTCCTGTACTGTCTGCTATCAAAGTTTGTACTACAGTGTAGAATAAAGGTAAGTTTAAGAGATGGTATTTAGGGGTAAAAATCTCTACTGTTTAAGAAGTGCAGGGTAATAACAGTATTGTTTCGTGAACTTAAATTCTGGTTGTAAATCTATCCACCCACCCACCCACCCATCCATCCATCCATCCATCCATCCATCCATCCATGCATCCATCCATCCATCCATCCCCAGTCACATTCATTTATGTGTGTGCATTTCCTGGCTTACAATTCTGTTTTCAAAACATTTCTTAAGTTTTCAGTTGAAAACATTAGAAACACATATTTTGCTCTTAACTATGTTTTGATTACTGGAGACCTTCAACAGGTCTCTCTTCTATATAATCCTATTCAAACTTTAAACTAAACAGGGTGTCCCTACAATGGTAAAGGCCATTCATGATTCTCAAACCTACAATCTTATCAGGGAAACAAACATGTGGACTTGGCATTATCAAAGTCAGAATTAAATGTTTTAAGGCACAAGGAACATGCTGGGAAAGGTGAAGACCGATTCACCCTGACTGGGGTACCATGGGAGGCCAGAGTTCACAATAATCAGAGACAGGTAGGGAAGTCTGTAGTATATTCTAATGATAAGTGCATGGTGTTGTGTAGTAGGGGTGTTCTGTTGCCAACTAAAAGGCTACCTGTTCAAATCCACTTGCTGCTCTATGAGAATGACGAGGCAGTCTGGCCTTGTTAATATTGGCAACATCCCAGAATCCACTCGAGTTGGAACTGACATGATGCTTAGTGAGTGAGGTTTAAAAATTTTGGCTGGATGATATAGGATGAAAGACGGTCTTTGGGACACAAACATTAATAGTAGTAGGGTCCAAACAGAACCTGCTAGAACATTAATGTACTTTAAAACATTTCAGCAGGGTGACGTGATGTTAAAGTTACATCCTACTTTAATACTTTGTCTTCTCGAGCTGCCCTGTGACCTTTTTTGTTCCCCTCTTTCACTTCAGCCTCTTTTCCCTTTGTTCTGGCTTCTTAAAGCACTAAGTGCATTTTTGCTTCTTAAAGCACTAAGTGCATTTTTTTTTCTTTCTCTTCTGTCTTTGCAATGACCTTTAGCTCTCTTCATGGATGATATGTAAAAAGTGAAAAATGAAATCATTATTTTTCTTTGACATTCCTTTTAAGAAGTATTTTTTCATCATCATCTGTAGAATTTCCATTTTAGAGAGACAAAATTCAGGGAACAGGGATTAGGAATGGAAAGACCGCGTTCTGGTTTGGTAATTCTAACTCAATGGCCAGGGGGTGGCTAGAGTTTTATCCACCAGGAAGTTGGTGTCCCATGAATCCTAAAATATGCAACTCAAGTATTTCCACCCATTCTGTGGTTCTGTGCTTTCCTACTGGGCCTACAGAATGCTGAGTGAAAGCTAGCTAGTGCCTGAGTGAAGGTAGTATATATATCTATTGACACTGAGTGGTATAATAGGTACATTTCCATTTTAAGACGATTCATGCATAATAGTTTAAAAAATTAGACTAAAGAGAGACAAATAAAGGTTTTAAAGTTTTGTCTTTGAAAAGATGGTATCTTACAGTACATACAAAAATACTCTGAAAATACATATGACTTCATTTACAAAACACTGAATCAAACATTACAAGAATTACATGGTTATGGATTATAATAAACTCAGCATGCATTCATGAAACTTAAAAAATATAAGAAATGCATTGAAAAAAGCAGTGTAAAAAATGGTAACTCATAAAGTTAAATAAAAATTACAAAGGTCCTGAGCCAATTAATGGTTGGTAATAATGTCATTCAGAAGTGTCTCTTGGTTTCAATTAACCCACTGCTTATTTCCGCATGCCTTGTCTGTGAAGAAACTATCTCACGTTGTGGGGTAAGTCACGGTCAGTAATTATCATGCCAGGGTAACGTTACACCTCAAGAACACAAATTCCTCACACTTAATGAGCTCTTACTGTGGATGCTGGACTGGAATGAGTTGCTTCTCAGTAAAAAAATATCGGTTAACTAACAACAATGGCATGAGACAGGACAGGTAACAATTTCACCATTCATATACTGACTTTCAGTATCCTGTTTACGTTTTGATTTTTATTAAAGATGCAATTCAAAGGCCTCCACAGGAGGCAAAATACAAAGAATCCATGGTGCCCAACTCCTGTACAAAAATCACTGGATAACTCCCTGATAACTAGGAACAAACATGTGGACAGAAAGGCACACAACACGAAAGAATGTACGTATTCCATGTGCCAATCTGGAAAAAAATAATTTAAATCAAAAGAATAGACAATAACTACATCTACACAAACGAGGAAAGTAGAAAAGATTCCTCACATACATTTATTTCAGGTCTCACCAAGTGGCTTCAATGCTAACACAAATGTGTTAACATTTGGAAAAATAGAAAATTTTTTT